ATTCTTAGGCGAATATGTCAAGGGGCATCCCCTGAGTGGCTGATTATATACGTATATAAGAAAAGAAAAATATATCACTGTTTAAACGGTTTTTGTCAAAAGGGCTAAAAATGAAAAGCTTTTTACTCCCTTCACCATATGTTAAATATGTGCGAATATATACAACACTGAGAAGGACTTGAGATAGCTACAGTTTTTATTATACCAATAATTTTCTGACTCATCCATCTGTCCGGCTTACTTTATTATGTTCACCCTATAGATATTTGAGATATTTCGATGAAACTTGGTCGACTGACAAGTTTGGCCCAAGGACAAATGGTTAGGATCACTTTTTCGACCTTTTCCCATATAGCGATTTTTTTCTTTAAATCGTGATGCAAATAAATGCAGGGTAAGCCACAGTGCGCTGTGGTGTTTTTGCTTGTTTTTATATAGTGTCTTTTTTCCAATCCATTGTCGACACCGCTTGAACATTATGGTCCATACATTGAGTATAAAAATACTGAAACAGGCTTAAATTAATTCAGAAATTGTTTCTGAATTCATGCCACAAATCTTTCTGGGCATTGCCTACGTGCGCAGAAACTAAATATATCCTGCACAATAAAGGGGATATAGTATAAAAACTTGCGTAAGAGTGTTTTTCTCTTAATTAACTTTAAGTGCTTCGTCATTTAGCAGTCAATGCTTCAAAATTAATTAAGTTTTTATATGCGGTACCAAAGGATGGTAGTATATTAATTTCATGACATCGTTTGTAAAGCAAGTCGCATTTCACAATTAAGCTCACTAGTCAATCTGCCCCCCCTTCGTTTTTCGTCTTACGACGCGTAATAGTGAGCACGTGGTATGTGATAGCCGCAGTTATTCATCGTCATCACAAGTAATCCTAATAATCTTTGCTTTTGCGAATTTTTGATTTGCATGATGAGTGATCAAGATTCGCTTCAAAGGTTTCAAACTTTCTTTTGCTTTTTAATTTCTTCTCTTACTATTCTCAGCTAATGATCAATTCATGTTGACAATACGTAATGTGAAGCTATTTATTGCCATTTTAAGCTGATGTAGATATAAATACATGATCATCATTATAATGTTTTTTTTTTCTTAGTATGAAGTGAAAAAGAGACAAGAGAGTTCGCGTTAATTGTTTCACTGCTTCAGTAGAAGTCTTTGCTAATGCTTTCAACGTTACAAAAAGTTTGAAAAAAAAATTCGAAATCATTAAATTTAATAATCTTTAAATACCACTAAGTACCCAGTGTTTAGTTTAGATATGTGTAGACGCAAAGAAAAAATGTGAAGAATTTTTTTCATTTTATTATGTAGTAATCCATATGTATAGCTCGTGACACAGCTCTTAATGGTTACTGCATGGAGGAGTAGTAGATTAACGATTAACGAAGAAACTTAAGCGAGTGCGTTTGAAGAATGTTTAGTTATAGCTTTATGCACATATATCGTGTCAGAAAAGAAGAGTTTTTTGGAACAGCGGTGTTCGCCTTATTTAAGTTCTTATCCAGCAGCTACAAGGTAAACAAACATCTGTATTAAACTGAAAAGTAGGCAATGTGGATGCACAAGTAGCTGTTTAAAAAGCGAGTCAATCGAGTTTGTATTAGTGCAAAGCAAAAAAAGAATGATTTATTGAACAATACACTTACTAACTATCGATGGAACTTGAGTTCAATGCGAACCGTTACAGACTTGAAATTCAACTTCTCCTTCATGGCCGGAAGTCGAGAATGACACTCAGAGAGTTTGTTCTACAATAAAGATGATATCGTGTGCATTGACTTGGTGAAAACGTTGAAGAATGGGGAGTAATAATATAACATCGTGTGATACTTACACACACGCTCTTGTTATTCAACTTATATTTGCCTACATTTCGTTTTATATATCCTACGTCAATTGTGGTATGTTAAGTCAGCGGTGTAGTAAGTTTATGCAACAACCAGAAGGACTTGACATAGACCTACTTTTTAATATACCGATCTAAGGTTATCTGTCCGCCTGTCCATCTTATTTTCTTTCTGTGCTCATCCTACAGTTCGCAAATTTTTTGATAAATTTTTGTACACTTTTGGACAGGGTTTGGCCCAAGGGCGAATGCTATTAAAAAAAGTTCGGATCACTTCTCCAACCACTTCTCATATCTCACATTTATTTGTAGGCCCTAGTCCCCTATAGTGTTTATAGTGGTTATAATTATATTTTCATTTCTACTAATTGGTAACACTGTTCCGAGGAAGAATTTGAGTCCGATCTCTGATACAATTTATATAATGCAGTAATTTTTTGTTTACTATACTTTTCAGTGCTGTGCGCCATTAAAAATATCGCAGAAATTTTATAGTAAAAATTTTAGCCAAAGTACGGATGAATGCTATAAAGCATATAAAAGTATCCAAGAAACAGAATTGCTTTATTTTTTGACATGGATTTAAGAAAGTCACCTTAAAGATGATTTCTACTTTTAAGTTAAGTAAGAAGCATTTTTCCTTTTCATTTTTTTGCACGAAATATATGGCTATGCGATTATTATCGAAAGACTTTCACGTTATTCCCCATTCCTTTCGGTCCATATGATAGAATTTCGCACCTCATATGGAGGATTTAATTGATGATCGTAATTTTAGCAAAAATGCATGAAGGTATTAGTTAGTTAAGAAATAAAATTTTTTTTACCAGTAAAAATTCCGGATACTTTTTACACAGTATGCATTTTTTAGCTCATCTAACGCTTCTCAGTTAAAAGCTTAAAAGTTGAGAAAAGTGACAAGACTGAAAACAGATAAAATCTTTTCTCGTTTTGCTTGCTTAGCCGCCCGAAAATAGGTGACACATAAAAAGCTTTCCTTCCTTGGCTTAACATATCGTTTAAGAAGTAAGACAAAGATAATTGATGTAAATATAAATAAACAATCTGACTGCTATAATCAAGAATAATCAAGAATAAAAAAAGAAAAAAAACAAAAAAATGATTAAAATCTTTATAGTCGTATATAATAATAATTTGATCAAATTTTAAGCAAAGTTTTTCAACTTAAAATAAAAGAAATTCCTTTGTTGTTTTGATGAAATCAATCCTTTGCCTTTCTTATTTTTTTTTAAACTGCGATTGTTTTTGCTTATATAAAAAACACATGACTACATGTCCAAGAGAGCAAAGTCCGTGCATATTTTTATATATATATATATATATATGTACATATATATATGATTCTGAGTCGATTCTGGTCTTGTTTATTGAGTCGCCTCGAGGCAACTTAATCCATTCGTCCATCCATGCCTTTGTTCGTTCGCTGTTATTAAAACGCTCCTCATGGCTAGCGTTGAGGCGAAAAGCTGAAATCTTTGGTATATAGATCCTTAGCTGATATGGCCATAGATTACTTCCAAATTAGGTTACTTGTACTGCATGATATATATTTAGATGCTGATCTAAAATTTGGAGTACAGTTATAGTGGAAAACACTGGCAAACACGCCCACAATGGACAAAGAATCGTAACTTCTTCTTATCCCACTATGAATAAGGAATCTCACAACATACAGGTCTCTATAGGAAAAATACGTTTATTTTTTAATAATGTTACGGAAATCCCAAATTCAGTTCATTGCAGCTAAGTAATAAAATCCATATATAGCGAAAAATGAAATGCACATTCGTAACGCGTTATGGAGCTGCCGGCCGAGGAAAACGAGTGCCAGAAAAGCAGGTTAACGGATTAAAAATGAAGTTATATAAAATTGGGTACTAGTAATATGCTGGTAAAAATGTATATAAATAGAATATTTGTGGAAGGGAGAGTCAATAGAAAAAGAATTTCGAGTTGAGCAATCGAAAGTATGGGCAAAAATAAATTGTGAATAATCCTACATTTAAGGAATATAATTGTAAGTAAAAGAACTTTGAAGTGTATTTCTCTTGAACAAAATATTCACGATCCAGTGATGCGGACTGTATCTTAGAAAAGCGAATTTCATAAGAATATTTCATAATGGACGCCGATTCATAATAATAATTCCACCTGGGAATTTACTGTTAACCGAATTTTAACAATGTGGATCTATTTTTTGAACTTCATCCTCTAAAAGGGAGTTATCATGAAAATTAATGTCTTGCGACGTGAATAGGTGAAGAATAACAAAATCTTTGAAAAGAAAACGAATTTTGCTAAATTTGACTTGTGTAAGTTGACGTTTTGGTCTTCTTTCTACATAAGGAATTTCTAAAAATCATTTTTGTTTTTTTTTTTTGTAATATGAGGATGTTTCCTATTCGTATAGCACGGTGACTGTCAGAAAGAAAAGAAGAAAGAGAAAGAAGTAGGAAGGTAGTGGCACACAGCCTAGTGGGTGGTATACCTTCATGGACTGAGCATTCACTTCTTATCTTCGACCAAAGGCAACTGCACCCTGCTTGAGATTTGCAGTTGCAAACACCGACTTGGCAGTGATGGTTCTTCGGTTTATTGGCAAAGGAAGACTTATATTGGACAAAGTGGTGTAGCGTATCTACTTGTCGGCCTTTCCTCATTATAGAGTTCTTATTTGTTTTTGAATTAATTACTCGTAATGGACATCTAAGAATCGCCCTAAGGCAAGTTGAAGTTTCTTCTTCTTCTTTGTTGCTACTTCATTTTACGCTGCACAGAAGGATATGGACGCACTACATTTACCATTTGTAAGGAGCTATGTGAATATTACGGAATCCAAAAAGTATATATTTTCCTTACCACGATAAAACCAAGGGCCAAAATTTGGTAAAGAAAGTTTAAAAATGGGCGTAGATTAAGTATAAACACAGCCAATAATTGTCCAACGCTAGGTCTACCTGGGTAAATGTTTTTAAAACCTTTTTAAGTGATCGGTCAATTACGAGAAGAGCGTTGCGATTATCAAAAGGCGTGTGCATCCGAGATTCGTCTCGAATGAAAATGAATTTTCACTTAAGTCTCATTTATCAAAAAATTTAAAAGTTTTGCTTACCTCTTTATCATCCTGTTTGTGTTGATTATTATAATAAGTTTTCAGAGTTAATTTAGTGCCGCAGTGCACGCATTTAAAGCAACCAGAATGAAAGAAAGTGAAATCCTTTAAAGGACCGACACGATCTACTTGATAAACAGTTTCGTTGCAACGCAAGCAGGTTGACTCATAAAAATTTGGTCGATACATAACTTTTGAATACGCTTAAGACACGCAGCAATAAATTACTTTGAGATAGAAGAAAAAGTAGTAGAAAATTTCACTCGCTAGATAATCTACATACAATCCACAGGTTAGTGTTTCTGTTGATGATCTAGCACAGCGTACGTTATATAGATTAAATTTATTTATTTAATTCTTTTTTTAATTTTTTTTCTCGTAATCAGATTATTTTATGTGTTTTTTTCTTTCTTATTTTCATTTACGTTTAATTTCACTCTCTTAACATTTTATGATATGCGTTTTGCATACGAAATTCATTTGCGATGCGGAAGAAATTTTTTTCTAAAATTTTCTTCTTATTGCTGTTGGTTAAATGTGTACGTGCAGAGTAGAATTGGCAGGCGTTACACGACACGTTGCTTTGACTTTTTTTTCATTTATTGTTGTTATTATTATTATTTTGTTTTTTTTTTTTTGTTTTCTTTTATGCCAATGTGTCCAAACTGTCCATTCGTTGGGTTGACATAAATCTTTTAGCACAAATACTTTCAAGTCGTTACGTTGATATTTAAAAGGGTTTGAAGAAAATCTAAAAAGAAAAGTAATTAAAAATGTTTAGAAATTTTTTTATTAAAAAAAAAAGAATATATATATGTAAAAGAAATTTTATTTTTATTAAAAAAAAACTATAATAACCAAAAAAAATAGATAAAACTTTTTTTTATTAGACAAAAATACAAAAGAAATTTTATTTCTTTAAAAAAAGCTTTTTTTAATAAAAAAAATTTATTTCTGTCTCAAAAAAACTGCATCTTAAAATATTTTTTTTTTTGCAAAAAAAAATGCAAAAAAAATTTATTTTTGCTAAAAAAGGTTTTCTCATTAAAAAAAATAGAGAAGAAATTTTATTTAAAAAAAAAAAGGTTTTTTTAACACAAAAAAAAATATGTATGTGCATGTAAAAGAAATTTTAATTTTATTAAAAAAAATTTTGTTAGTAAAAAATATATAAAAACAATTCGTTCCATTTAAAAAAATTAAAGAAAGAAGGACAAATTTTTTTTATTAAACAAAATTATAAAACAAGTTTTATTTTTTTCAAATTTTCTTTATTCTCTTAATAAAAAAATTTATTTCTGTTTACAAAATTGCTTTGCCGAAAAAATAGAAAAGAAGTTTTATTTAAAAAAAGAAGCATTTTTGATGAAAAAAAAAAATGTAACGGAAAAATCTCTCTATATATATATATATATATATATGTATATATAAAATGAATTTTATTTTTATTAAAAAATATTTTGTTAGTACAAAATATATAGAAAAATTCATTTCTGTTTAAGAAAATTGTTTTGTAAAATGCAAAATAAATTTATTATTGCTTAAAAAAAGGTTTTTAAAAAAAGGTGTTCTTTCAAAAAAATTATAAAAAAATTTTATTTTTTAAAAACGCTTCTTCAATAAAAAAAATATTATTTTTTCAAAAAAATTATAAAAAAATTTTTATTTTTTAAAAATAAAAAAAATATTATTTTTGTTTAAATTAAATTTTATATAAAAAATGAAAAATGTTGCTTTCTGTTTAAAAAATTTCTTCTAAAAATTTATTGCATGCAAACTAATTTTATTTTTTTTTTATAAATAAATGACTTGCTGTTTCTTAGAAAAGAACAATGAATGACTGACTAAATATAGTTATTGTTTATGTTAAGAGGGTGTTGACGCTTACAAAACAAATAGCAAGATATGCAAGTGTGCCAGCGGTGAATGGGTTTGTTGACTTGATTTCATTCAGAGAAATGCTTTTTAGAAATTACTTTTTTTGGTTACGAACAACATAGTAAAATATTTTTTACTATATAATAATTTCATTTTTATTTTTATTATTATTGTTTTGTTTTCAAGCAATTACTTTTTTGAGGTGTGTGTTTTAAATTTTTTAGATGTCTACGAAAAAAATAAGTGCGGCAAAAAAGAAAAAACAAAAAAAAAAAAGAAGAATTGCTTTAATCATTTAAAAGTCAACAACTTTTTTTTCACACATGTCATGTTTGAGTACCAAAAAGAGTCAAATAAAACTAGTTGTTGTTGTTGCTGGTGTTTCATATACAAATTCAGGTTTAAGGCTTTTTAAGGCCATATGGTGTAGACATATTTATATGTGCACATATATAAATTTATAGATGCATATATCCATATGGCTGCACTTGTTATTAAAAAGACTTTGCACCTAAACAATAAAAATCAAATGATTGGCTTTGCCCGAAAGGTCAATGGCAGTGAACTAACATACAATTACTACAAACAATATCATCATTTTTGAATAAAAATTATCAACTATTGTTAAAGTTAATCGAAACTTTACTTCTACAAGCAACATAAGTTGTTTTTCTTTAAATAAATTTTCAAGAAATTTGTGAAATATCTCATGGGATATATCTCTAAAACCCAATCACGGGCTATATAGTCGGTAATTAAACCAACTCTCCTTCTGTTCGTCCGTTCGTGCAGCCTCCCCATCCACTCGTCACTGCATCATAGCGTGATATTGTCTACGCATTCGCTTGTCTCAGTATGTTTTTGTCTCACTTTGGTATTGCATCCGCTCTTCGGTCAGTAGTTCCTCTGCTTGCCCATTTGAGCTTAGATTCATTTAAAGTCTACGAGCTTCTTCAGATCTTGAGCGAGCTGATTAAGTAAAATTAAGAGCATTTAATAAGGATACCGGGATGTTCAGGTTTCGGAGGCATTAAAAGGGTTGACTGTCTAGCCAGCAGGGAAATGTGAACGACCGTGATAAATCCGCCAGCTTTTTGTGGTTTACCAAGGAGTTTTATTAATAGGCTGGTATTGCCATCTGCCGGACGCAGAAAAAATAAGATTGTCGATGAAAACTCAGCGCAGGACAACGTTAAAGAAAAACGTTTTGTAAAATTTCTCGGTATAGCACGCCAGCTACTGGAAGTGCGACTTACGTAGGGTCACAAGTCGCTCAGGTATCACCTGAAAAATGATGATAAGTAGATATCTTTGATACCAAATGACGCAGATTCCGTGGAGAGACGACTGAAACGTTCACCTGTATCCTACGCGAGTCTGCAGAACCAGACACCGGGCTACTGGCGAGTAGATCATTATGCAAGACGCATTTTGGTGCTATGAAAGTTAAAGACGGACGAGTGCCATAGACGTCTGAGGAAATATTCCAAATACTATTTGTTTGTGCTGTTCGTCGTTAACCGTCATTGTTCATTTTCGATGTCGAGGCAGAAGACTTATCGTAAGGAGCAATGTGCTTCAGTAGATTTAAACAAAAAAGACTTTATTTCGTATTTTTAAATATCAAAAAATAGCACAAAAGATTTAAGGGCTCATCGAATCTGCTTAACTTCGTACTTTGACTGGACTGTTGCAATAATACAATTTAAAGGGTTGTATACTCGACCTTGAGAAATTTTCTGCAGAATAGTAAATTTGGAAACCATTAGTAGAGAAAGTTAGTAACAACAACAACAACAACTGATGGAAGTGAGACGTAAAACGAAAGCAATATGCCAAGAGTCACGATATCATGAAAATTTCAATATGAAAAAATTTTGGCTCATTCACCATAAGTTGTTTAGGAAATCTTTGCAGCATTAGGCTGGAATGTCCTGCGTCCACGTTGTGAGCAGCAGACATTACTCCTTTTCATGAAAATGGATCTTAATAACTGACTTATTATTTATTCGAAGGTTCGAACGGTTCCCTGGGATTGCCTTTAAAGACCAGGGTTCCTTGAGAGAGTAAACTGCTTAAATTGTCTGAAAGCATAGCAAAACTTATAGTTGCACGTAGGGACTGCTCCCAATAAATAAGTTGACGGCTCTGAGCGAATATAAAATTAATTTGTAAAAAAATTCAAAAACAAGGTCCTTTTTTTGATACTAATGTTATTAAGTGAAATCATTAAAAAGTTGCTCTGTTTTTTAAATTTTGCAAGATTAACAAAAATAAAAAATAAATAAACAAATAAAATTTATTAATGTTTCGAAATTGCATTTCTTTCATAATTCTTTTAATTATTTTTTATTATTATTGTTGTTATCTTAATGAAATCCGATCCGAATTGTTTTTATAATTAAACAAAAAAAAAAAAAAAAAAACAAATGTCATTAAGCATAAAATATTTATAAATTTGATATTAAGAAAAAAATATCGTTTAATGAGCAACGGCGCGCAATTGCTTGTTAAACAAAAAATACATTTATAAAAAAAATTTTTTATGTTCCACTCATTGCTTATGTAAAGTAATCTTTATGTAATCTAGATGTTTTATTGTTGATGTTATGGTTAAGAGATCATTGGCTAATAATATTTATATATAAGAAAAAAAAAAAAAAAATACAGCAACGACAAGTATTTCACTATTCATATTAAATCACTCTAGCGCAAGTCGGAGAAGATGAATTCATGAATTCATTCCGTCTATCTAAAGAAGCGGCGAACGGCGCGGAAACTTAAGACATTAAAGACACAGCCTGTCTTTGTGATGAATTCCCTAAACGCCTGAGCCTAATGTAGATAGGTTGCCCTTAGACAAGCTAAGAGGACTTATTGGAAGATAAATCCGGTGTACTGCGATAAAGGCCTTAGGAAAGATATCCTTAGACCTGTGACTTGAGGCATGAGAGACTAGAAATGTAATCTTAGGCTGTCTAATTATAACCAAATATTCTCTGGAAACCCGGATGTCACGAATACACAAAGAGCCGGCTGTTGCTGGAAGCTGTACTGTTGTCAGGCATTATATATATATGCACTGCATATTCCTTTTTCGCAATTTCGCCTTGGGAAAGGATTTCATACGGCGCATTGCCACATTGAATAAAACTGTTAATGTCACCCTGATTTATAAGCCAAGTCCTACCTCACCTTTTTCACTATTTTCGCTCGATTGATCGGTTATTTTTCGGGTCGTATAAATTATATAGCGTTTGTTGGAAAATTTTACAATTTTTCGCATGATTTTGATAAACGCTGAACGCATGGGTAGATAAGCTAGGACTAATTATGGAACAAGAAATATGTTAGACTATACTTTTTAATATCCATTATTACCTTTCTGCATTTATCGTACAAAATTTCGCAAAACTACGTGAGCAGCAAAACAGAGAGACGGAGATGCTTAAGTCGATTCAAAATCATTTTTTGAATCAAATTGAATTGCGTAAAAAAATAATGTAGATTTTAATCTGCGACATATAGGGCATATGTCAATTTGCTGCTTGAGCAATTGCTGTACTTAAAACATTAAAAAAATTTGCATCTGAATCGAGGTCGTAAGGCATATGTTAATGAAATTCTACACTTTGCTGTTTAAGAAGTTTCTGAACTTGAAACAACAAAAAATTTCCTCCTGAACGGAGGCCGTATGGCACTTGTCAATGGAATGGTCCACTTTTTCCACTTATGATTATACAATAAAATATTTGCACCTGAATCAGGGCTATAAGGCATATGTCAGTGAAATGCTTCACTTTGCTGTTTAAGAAGTTTCTGAACTTAAAACAACAAAAAAATTTTCTTCTGAATCGAGGACATCAGGGATAT